CACTGCAGCCAGTCTCAAAAAAAGGGGATTAAAAATAAAAAGACAGAGAGAAAATCACATGCAGAAATCAGTGACAGTAATAGACAGAACCAGACTTCTTAAAACTAATCAGTCAATTATCTAACATTTATTAAGTATCTGCTATGTGCCAAGCGCTATGCTAAACCTGGAGATGCAAAGAAAGGCAAAAAACAACAACAACAAGAAAAGCAATCCCTGCTCTCAAGTATTTAATAGTCTAAGCAAGCAACTATGTACAAACAAGATATGTACATTGGGAGTAGTCTCAGAAGGAAGGCATTAAGATTAAGAAAGACTAAAAAATTCTTTTGGTAGAAGTTAGAATTTTGTCTTAGACTTAGGGAACTGTTCCAGCACTTAGCACAATATCCAGGACATAGTAGGTGTTTAACAAAAGCTTATTGACTGACTGATAGACATTGAGGAAACCTTGAGTTGATCCAGCTTGTCTAAGCTCCTTTGCCTGAGTTACTTGTTTTGATGGTACATTAGAGCACTATTGAGCTCCTCATAGCTACTCCAAGGGTACCCAGTCAAAGAAATGGTATCAACAGCTTCAACTTTTAGTGTCCTGCACTAACCAAGACTCCTGTGGCTTCAATACCTTTTAAGGAAAATTAGTTAAAAGGTATCGAGATATTCCTCAAGACTTGGTTGAGTCAGGGGATTAAGGGTTCAAATTGTTGATGTCACTTCCACCTTGCCTGATTATAAACCAGACCTTGGGAAAGGCCTATTGCAAAAGGTGGGACCTTAGCTACGACTTGGAAGAAGCAAAGAACACTAGTAAAGGAGCATGAGAGAGTTCCAGACATGGGACAGCCAGTGAAATACTTTTTGTTTTTTAGGCAATTGGGGTTAAGTGACTTGCCCAGGGTCACATAGCCAGTAGGTGTCAAGTGTTTGATCTGAGGCCAGATTTGAACTCAGGTCCTCCTGACTTCAGGGCCGGTGCTCTGTCCACTGTGCCACCTACCTGCCCCCAGTGAAATACTCTGAATGAAGAGCCAGTGTCTAATTGGAGGAACAGCAAGGTGGCTAGTATCACTGGATCTCAAAGTAGAAGATGGGAAGCAAGATGTAAGAAAACCAGAATGGACAGGCAGGGGTACTATGTCAATTTGAAAAATTTCCACTCTTACTTGAACTGTGAATGGTGAAATTGAATTCTCTAGGCTCTACTTAGGGTCTCTCTTTCTAGGACTGTGACCTGTGTTAGCCTTTTCTTGAAAACTTTCCCCCTTACTGCTCTGGGGGTGCTCCAAGGCTGGACTCCCATCATTGGGCATTGCAGCACCCAGTCTCTGCTTAGGGCCCTTCTCCTGCCACTGTCCTCTGGAGTATGGTTCACTTTACAGAATCATTCTGGGTTCCTAGCCATGCTGGTCTCCTCTTGGTACCATTCTGTTGTGCTGGAACTGCTTTGTGCCTTCTCCATATCAAAGTTTCTGAAGGATTATGAAAGATCTTTGGTGCATCCCTGGGCTAGGTGGAGAAATTTAGAGTTATTCTCCTTATTTCTTTTTCAATTGTGACATTTTTAACCTTTATCGAGGTGTTTACAGGGAAACTGAGTCACTTTAGGTATTATCATAACACTATCTTCTTAGTGCTTTCAAAACAAGGTGAGAAAGATCTTTGAATTATCAAAGCAAGAAGTCAGCCAGTGTATTTTTGTTTTTGTTCTGTTTAAATCAAATCTTTGTACATGGACCATTAATCCTGGCAATTTCCAGAAAACTAACATCTATAATAAAACAGCAGTTTTGATTTAGATTTCAAAACATTTATATGCACATGAAGATTATAACATTAACACTGAACAACAAAAGTTAACTACTCTTTTCTAGACCTAGCGATTATATAGCATATTTTAAAATGGAAATGCACCAGGAAGTGCCACATTAAGAAATGCATAAGTTCAAAGGATTTCACTAGCTCATGATGATGATACCCTTTCCTTCTAATTCCATATTATTTTTCAAAATTAAGAATCACTTTTTCCTCAAAAACCATTTTTAATGTTTTCCTATAAATAATTTTTAAAATTTGTTTCACATCATCTCCCTTCTTTGGCATGTACTTCCCACCTAACCTCTGTCTCTTAAATTTATGGTATATGTTCATAAATATATGTTTTTAATGTGGTTGACCACCTTCACTATTTGATGAAAAGATGATTTTTGTTTTCTCACTTGTCTCTCTATCATGTTATTGACTAAGATCATAAGGACCATGTGTGTGTGTATATATATATATATATATATATATATATATATATATATATGTCTTTCTTAAGGGTTACCATTTAATATCATGCTCACAATGGTTGTCAGATAGATATTGATTAGAACTAGGCATATGTTTATTTCTGATTCTCATTTTAGCTGATGTTTGCTACATAAAAGTCTCTCCTTTGGCATGAAAAATTCACTCTCTAGGATTGTAATTTTAGAATAAATATATATATATATATATATATGTAAATACTCATAATACAATTAACATTTTTTCTTTCCAAATATGAATATATACACATCTATGTGTGTATATATATATAAAACACATACTTTCCTTCACATATGAAGATATTGCTACTTTTGTACCAAACAAAAATGTGCTTTTTTTTCATCAATGGTGATGAGTTTGTGTTGATCCTTGCATCCTATTCCTTTTACCTGTTACCTGATGACCAGTGGCACACATTTACAATTATGGCTAGCCATAATTAGGAATATAAGTTATGTCTATAAAGCAGAACATAGCTAAGGGGTCTACACAGGAAACTGTTCATCACAGGAAACACATCAAACTGGTTACATTAATATGGTGTTCTAACCCAATAGCTCTAACATCTAATAATGTAGGCTCTTCTGGTGGTTGGAGAGATGATGTCCTGAAGTGTGATGATATATTATTTATTTATGTCTAAGTGACCTGACTTCTGATGCTCACAGTCTTTCAGAATATATTCATGAACTCTTATAGCCATGAACCCTGATTATCTGGTATGGAAACCCTCTGAACAGCAAAAAGGTATAAAAAAGCTCATGCATTGGGCTCTTTTGAGAAGTGAAACCATTTTTGGTCCTTACTTAGATATCTAAGTGTAAAATAGGATAGAATGAGGTATATTAAGAACAGATCACAAGAACTACTGCTTAAATAGCACAATATTCTGGGATCACTTAATGTAAGGAATATGTAATATTGCACATGGGTAATACTACACATGAACAGTCCTTGATGCTAACACTAAATTACAGCATAGCATGTTAATGAAAGTTTATAAACATGTTCATTATCAACAGGAAAAGGTTTTTTAAAAAATATATTATGCTTAATAAAGTATGCTTCAAATATCATTGAAGCACTAATGTAGACCTTAAGAAATCAGGGAACTGTACAATCCATTTTCATTCATTCATTCAACAGATATCTGAAAAATGTACTATATGTAAAGTCAGAGAACTGAGTCCCCCAGCCATGCTACTTAATACCTGTATGTGATTGGGCAAATCACTTGATGTCTCTGGCAATCAGTTTCTCTTCTATAGAATGAGGAAGCTGGACTAGATGGCTACTCTGTACTCAGATGCATCTCTAAATCCTAGAATCCTTTACATTTTGAGTTGTTCCTATGCCTTTGTGTTGATTTTATATTCTATCACTATTACTTCCCTCATATACCGCTTTAGTACACTCATACATACATACATAGGTAATATATGTACAGATATGAGAGGCAATCAGATACAGTGGATAGAAGATCAGATTTACAGTCATGAATTGCAGTTAGACATTTCAATTTAGAGTGATGGATCCAAGTCCTGCCTTTGGTGCATTATACCTGTAATTATGAGTAAGTAACAATTTTTTAGTTGGAATTCTGAGACTAAATGGAAGAGATGAAATAGTTCTTTGTATCAGCAAAATGAGCTTCAGCACTGAGAGTTCTCTGAAAAAATGTCAAGTCCCATCTCTAACAACCACCACCCCAAAAGAAACAAAACAAATCACTACTAAAACTAAACACAAAAAAATTGTCTTGTGAAAGAATGAAAATGCCCAATCTTAAAATATTTAAGAAATTAAATAGTGTGAAGTAGTGACGGACACATTTGCATGTTCTGAAGACTCTTCTGACTTCACTGATGTAGTTTTAACCCAAAGTTATAGTGGAAAGGTAGTTAAGCACCTAGTCAGAGCCTGTTTCTCTTCACTGATTGCTACTACGAATTGTTTTCCATCTGGGCCAGAAGAACAGTACTGTCAAGCTTGTTTAAACGGGAGCTAGGAGGATGCATTCTAGACCATTGCTTCTTCTATTCTTCCCCACCTTTTTGCTGCTGTCCATGGATATGAAGTATTCTTCAACATCCATAAAAAATAATTATGAAATTCAGTATTGTACACTAGAGATAGGAATCAGAGGCAATTACTCAGGAGAGGCTCTGAAGAAATTAATGTAGTTGGAGCACATTTGGGAATCACAGAGCAAGAGTATGCTTGTTTCCCAACCTCCACAATTTCTGCCTGAAATATTTCAGGCTCACTTCCTTCTTATCCTTCCCTTCACTCCCTTCTTGCTTTTCAACCCCCAACACATTTTAAGGATAGAGTGGAATAGATACTGAAAGGGAAAAATAGACTTGCAATTGTTTTTGTGTCTTTTCTGGACACCGAGATGAAGGGATGACCAAGTTAAAAGGCAGAATTGCACAGTATGAGCAGTGAAAGAAAAGGTATTACAGAGATAAGGGCACACAGTGGAAAATATACTTCCTTTTCCTTAGTTTGGAACTAGAAGGGCCATTGTTAAAGTGCTTGGGCATATATCAATGCTATCAGAAGACATACTGAACATTACCTCTTGGATAAACTGGAACTAAAGCAATACTTCTGAAATAAAAGTTTTTTAGTTATCAGAATTGAAGTCAATGACTAAAACAAAATTGAAACTATCCCTCATGTTGTATTTGAAATCAACTCACAATATTTTACTGAATACAAAATGGCAACATCTGACTTACAGATAGTGCAAACCTCTATTTTAAACAAAATGATAATAGATAACCTCTCCCTGGCCCAATAAAATGAGCAAACACACTAACTCTCCTAAGAAGAAGGACAAAGGGCTGTTACAAAAATCCCAACACATTTTTTTTCTTTTCCATATAATTGGCTTTATATAACACCATCACTTCTAAAGGACTACATTGCTAGAATCAGAAGTAGCCAGGAAGTGACAATGGAGACACTAATATAATTAGCTTTGTTGAGCTAAAAATAGATTTGTTCATTTTTGATTTGCAGCAGAAATTGCAGAGGCAAGAATATTAATAAATCTGTAAACATCATGGAAAGAATTGTAGAGAGGAACTGGAGCCACTCGAATGCCACTTGGTTCCCGCGTGTCACACTGGAAAAAGAATAAAAATGGAATTACTGTCTTACATTGCTTAACTATGTCTATCAAAGAGATGACACAAATAGTCCCAGAAAATCTAAAGCCATAGTGAACTTACTATAAAAGCATACAAATCACCATGATTAAATATTTATATTTTGTTCATTAGGGAATTCCATAAAAGCTAAGTATTTTTCACTGTGTTAAGAATAGGATAGCATTTATTGGTGTCTCTATGTTATTAGAAACAGTTCTCCAAATCCTGATTAAAGCACTATGTACAAGATAAAGATTTTATACATATACATATTATATATATGTATATTTACATACATATATACATTACTTTTTAGAAGTTTATTAAAAGTCAACCTTTTGCAAAATTGTATATATGTATATGCATATATACTTAATATTATAGCTAGTTAATATATTAAAACACTGAAGTTCCCTCATCCATAACATGAGGAGAATAATAGTACCTACTAGTCAAGATTGTTGTGTTGTAAGGATCAAATGAAGATAATGTAAAATACTTGGCAGATTTCAACATGCTATATAAATGCTAGCTATTATGTGTATATGTGGGTAGGTAGATAGATAGATAGATAGATAGATAGATAGATAGATAGAGACATACATACAAACATACATAGATACATAGAGAGACTGATAGTGCCAGAAATGCCTAAAATCTTCAGGCATGTATTGGACTAGCTGAGTATTGTCTGGTTAAAGTATTGTCCAAACCTCAATGCTATAACTAAGGAAGAGTTCTAGGTAAATGACTGATTGGAAACTGAAAATCCAATTAGATGACCCAATCTTTAAACAAATATAGTGGTAGCCACCATTATAACATAATTTCTGGGGTGTAATGGATCTGAGCTCACATTCTATCCCAGCAATAATGAATCCAAATGATCAGAACAAACACTAATGAAGCAGATTATACAATGATACTAATGATAATAGTAGTAGTTTTTGTTGTTGTTCGGTCATTTTCAATCACATCTGACTCTTTGTGATCCCATTTGGGCTTTAATTGGCAGAGATAGTTTGCCATTTCCTTCTTTAACTCATTTTACAGATGAAGAAACAGAGGCAAACAGGATTAAGTGACTTGCCTAGGGTCACACAGCTAATAGTGTCTGAAGCCAGATTTGAACTCACAAAGATGAGTCTTCCTGACCCCAGGGCTAGCACTTTATCCATTGTGCCACCTAGCTGCTCCTAGTACTACTACTGGTAGTAGTAGCTAACATTTATACAGTATTTTAAGGTTTGTAAAGCACTTTACGAATATTGTCTCATTTTGCCCTCATAACAACTCTGAAAGGTAGCTGCTATTATTATCCCTACTTCCGCTAAAGAATAATGAATCTTAATTATTTAATTTGCATATAAATAATCAAAATCATTGATATCTTTCCTACCCTTTTTACACAGATTTATGCTTCTCATATGGTTATTGTTAGATGAAATGTTCATACATTTTTATTCCACCTCAACTTTGACCTCACTGATTTTAGTCATATTTCATAATATCTACAAAACAAGTTTTGCCTCCATTTATTATGAGTTATTTAAAAGATTTATTTAAACTGTCATCATTTAAATTCAATATCAGGAAACTTTTCATTCTTTGGGATTATGTCAGCCTGGGTACTAGTATTTTATCAGTATCCTAAGTATTCTCTGTCTCTCTGATTGGAGGGCTGTAGGGTAGGGCAGAGTGAAGAACTCCTCCCAAGTGTCCATTTAAAGAGAGTTTCCAGATCAACCATCTCTTCATTTTCCACCTTGCTACAATCTTTTAAACTAGACTCCACCATACCCCCTTTCCCACCCCTCTACCTCCCCTCTACCACTAAGTTCCCTTTCTATCTCTTTCCCCACATTTTCAGCTTCCTTTTGTGTGTCATCTTTCCCCATTTGATTGTAAGCATCTTGAGGGCAGGGGCTGTCTTTCATATGCCTATCTCCAGCATTTGACACAGTGCCTGGCACATAATTGGCACTTAATAAATGTTTGTTGACTAACTGATGAGACTGCTGAGAAGCAATATGGCATAATGAATAAAAGGATAGTTCCAGAGTCAAGAAGACTTACAATAAGGTCCTATGTCTGACACATTATAGTTATGTAAACATCAACAAGTCACTTCACTTCTCAGGGGCCTGGTAAATCTCTAAGATTATACATTACAATTTTTAAATTTGAATTCATAGAGGGAGATTCTGCAACAAGAGTTCCTCAGATTGATAAAATCATGGGTTAAGATGATTTTAATGAAACTATTAACCAGAAAATAAATATATTGGGGCAGCTAGGTAGTACAGTGGTTAGATCATCAGCCCTGGATTTAGGAGGACCTGAGTTCAAATCCAGCCTCATATACTTACTAGCTGTGTGATCCTGGGTAAGTCACTTAACCCTGATTGCCTCCAAAAAAAAGAAATAACTATATTGATATTTTCAGTGTCTTCATTATTTTTGTTCTTGTCTTCCATCTTATTGAAATATGATATGAAAGACTTAAGACAATGAAAAATTCTGTGGTCCATGCAGCAAAGTATATACTGATAATTCTCTGTAAATTACTATGTTCTCGTTTTGTTTCAAGTTCACAAGTGAATTTATTAATCTTCCCAGAATATTAAAGTTTCACAATAAAATAGGGTAAATTTTTATTTAATGTAAGAGTAATACTCAGGCTATATTTAGACAAGAGTTAACAAAGTTGAATCTCTTTGATTGAATTGACAAGTTAAATAACAAATCAGTCCATTCGAGAAAACAGATGTGCCTGTTTTCAATGAATTGATCTGTTTAAACTGATCAAATAAATTGACTGTATTGGTGCTGGCTGTCACTTAAGAATACTAATGGTATTTCCAGTAATTAAAATTTTCTCCCTTTATGCCATGGAGTGATTTTTCATATCAATTAAGTATGTTGTTCACCACCCTAAGAAATATTGTGCAAAATAATCATAATTTTTAAAATTTTACATGACACTTTAAGCTTTGCAAAATGCTATTCTTATAACAATCACCAGATGAGGAAACTGAAGCTCTGAGACATTAATAATTAAGTGAATTGCCTATGTTCATATTGGTAGTAAGTACTTGAAGTAAGACTGCAACCCTGATTTTCTGATTTCAAATCTAGTACTTTTTCTTTTTACTATACCATGTTACTTTAGTTTAGACATAACAGTTTTCAAGAAGTCTTTGCGTGCTTTCCATATTCCTTTATACATATCAGAGTCACTGACATGTCTCATGGTTGAAAAGGACTTTATTAATTATAAGTTATAAATAAGATGAAGCAAAAAATGGGGGGAAATACTATCATTTTTAGGGAGGGGGATAAGGGTGAGCTGTCTTTTTTTTTTTTTAATCTTACACAGATTGAAAGTGCAGTGGAGACTCCCAAGCCCAATTCCACTGTTGTTCAGCATGGAAGCTGTCACAGGCCTAGTCTACTTCTAATCCCCTCTGGTTTTGTCCTTCCTTAGGCAACTTGATGTCCCTGACTCTTGAAGACTCACCATATTGATGCTGGACTTAGTGCAGGCACCTGATCACTTTAACCCTACAGCATCTCAGAACTTCCGAGCTAAACTCTCAGCCTCCCCAAGCAGAAGGGATGCTAACAGTGAGCCGCTATTCCTGGGTAAGATATCATCCTGAAAGAAATGTATTTCCTTATCTTCTTTAAAAAACTTTTTCCCCATGTACATTATAAAGAAGAGCACACAGTTTTGAAAAAAAGAATGAGAGTTCTTATAAAAAATAACTATAGCTGTTACTCAGGTTTTTACTGGAAAGTGAAGAATCGTTTATAAAAAAATGTTCAGTCTTCACCTAGAGAAATGAAGTTTTTAAAAATATTGTAAGGAACTGATCTGATAGGTTCATTTTTGAATTTTAAATTTTTAGAAGTTATTATGCCCTATTTCTAAAGGCTACCAGTGAAAATTTTCCTCTTTATATTATATTTCATTACATTATTTTTATTTTAAATATTATTAGTAGTAGTATTTTATCTATAAGAAGCTGCATAAATTCTGAACAAGTTGTGATTAAAAGTTTCATTGTTCAGTAGTAATACTGTAAAAATATTTAATAATCTAATCACAATAATACCATACTATCATCATAGTAATGATAAACTTTCTCTACTTATTTTAGAAATCTATGAGGCAAGAGAATATCATGATTTTCTTTTTTCTAACTGAAGCAAAAACAAGTTAATGTTTGAAAAATAGTAAACTTTCCCTTTAATTTTGAGTATGTTTTGGTCAGTATACAGTAGAATACTTGGAATGATACTATATGTTAGGTACAAGGTATGCAGATATAGATATGTATGTATACATAAACATACACATATATACAGGGAGAGAATATATAAGAAAATTTATATATAATAATATGAGAAATATGTATATAACATATGAGAAATTTTATATATAGAGAGAAAATATATGAGGAAAATTACACATATATCTTTCTTTGTGTATATATGTGTATGACAGAGAAAGAATATATGAAAAGACTTTGAAGAGGACTGTAGTCTTAGAAGGGAGACCACTAAATATTTATTTTCTTAAAGTCTTTTCTCAGGATGTTATTATATACTGAAAAAATACATACATTTGTGTGTGTATATATAAATATATACACACACAAATATATATATATATATAAAATGTGTGTATGTATGTATTTTTATATATATATGTATATACTTTTCCAAAAAATCAATATTATGAATACACTGTACTAGTATACTATATATACATATCTACATGTAATATAACACCATTTACAAAGTACTTTCACAACCCCTATCTTAATTGACCTCAAAACAACCCTATGCAATTGGCATAAAAGGTAGTATTATTTCCATTTTACTGATGAAGAAATGAAGACTCTGAGTTATAATATGATTGCTCAAGGTCACAAAGTACCAGAGCTAGAACTTGAACTCAGATTCTCGATTTCTAGTCCATTGCACTTTCCACTTTAAGATTAATAGCTGAATGTCACATTCATGAAGTACTACTGATCCTTATTTTCAACTTGAATATTGCTCAAGCAAATATTTAAATCTATTTATTTCTAGCTTAGTTTCTGTCCAGATGATAGGCACATTTAGCTTAGGGAGTAAGAGCTCAACTGAGCTTCTACCCCTTCTTTCTTTTATTGTAGGGTATAAGGTAATTTTGTTTTCCTGTCTTTTGTTAAAGAAAAAAATAGAATATTTCATGTTATCAATTATTGTAGTTATTCTTTTCCTGACACATAGTTACCATGTGATTTATATGGAAAAGAGCACTACGTGTGGAATTATATAACTTGGTTTTGGTCCTGGATCTGCAATTTATTATATGTCTAACTTTGACAAAACACTTAAGGTTGCCTTCCGTTCCCTTGTCATTTAAATGGTCTTGGGTTCAAAGGGAAGAGGTGTTGAACGAGAATTTATGGTTCTTTCTAGCTTGAAGTTCCATGATTTTATGCATTTAGAAAGTCTATGATTCTTTTCATTCCAAGCACCCAAGCTCTTTTTTCCTTCTTTGGTTTAATAATATTAATAATAATAATAACCAATACTTCCTAAGATATTCACTTTATATTTTTAATAACAGAATTATGATGATCAAATGAAAGTTCTACAACTCTTAGTCTTTTGTAAAAGAGACAGTTGCCTAAGGAATTTTAAATTGTGTCCCCACATATTCATGCTTTTGTCATGCTGGGTGAAGAATTGTTACTGTGCAAGGAACCTCTAGCCATAACAATGGTCAGTAGGGCTTGAGACTGGTGGGGTACACAAAGCAATGATCTTTTATCTTTCTTTCTCCCTCTCTCTCTCTCTCTCTCTCTCTTTTTCTCTCACTCCCTCTCTCATGTCTTCCTGAGTCAGGGAAGAGTGACTGACAAAAGTTCTATCTTTTCTAGTGCATCTAGCTTTTTAGCATCCCAGTCATTGTAAGTTGCCTCAAGATGCATGGCTGAAGAGGAGAACTGGCAGCAGAACAAAGAAAGACTCTATAAAGGCATCTGACCCAACAAAGTAAAGCTCTACAACTAGTTATAGACTGGAATATGTTTTAAACATAGTAGACAGTTAATAAATGTTGATTTAGATTTGTTGACTTATTTTGAGGTCTCTTTACTATTTTTGTGTATCCAAGATGTAGAAAGTATTTTCCCTCCAATTGTCTGGCTGCCCATTTATGTTGTACCGATAGTATTATATAACAGAATTAAAATAAACAAATATATTCAATATACCTATGTTACTCAAACTATGTTATTGCTAGAAAGAAGAAAAATAAGTTAATATAATTGTCTTTTATATCACTTAAAATTTGTGCAACATTGATATTAATTAATTAAATTTAATTAATTAATTAAAATTTGTGCAACATTGATATTAATTATTAAATATATGTTGTTTATAGGAAAATTATACTAAAATTAAAAAAAATTTTGAAGAAATATAGCTTGAATATTTAAACAGTATACATACTATGTACAAGAAGATGTGTTAGATATTTTAAAAAGTGGATATAAATTGATGGAATATACATTTCATTTTATCAAACTGTTACCCTTTTAAATAGAATTAGTAGAAAACAAGACTGTTTCATAGAAGTGTTGTTTCATAGAAACACATATGATTTTTTTTCTTTTTGCACAAATTATAAAGCAATATAAGCTACCAGACAGTGACCATGAATACGAAATATAATAGAAACTTGTTGATTGATTAATATAATATAAAAACTGTGACAAGACTATGAAATCCAGATTGTATCAATCACCAAAATATAGCCAGTGGAAAAACAGCTACAAAGGAAAGGAAAAAAAAAGAGAAACTTACGATCACGCCTCTCTTTTCTAGTTCTTGAAAAACACTTTTTATTGGAATGGAAAAGGTGAGTGTTAGCTGGCATCCTCGATGCTCTATATGTGAGGGAGTCATTATTTTGACAAATGGCTTATTTGGAGCTGTTTTATCTTTACTGTAGTAATGCTTGAGCAGGTACTCCATATAACCAGTAAGCAAAATAGATTTTTTCCTTAATGTTTCCATACTTGTTTGACTAAAGATCTGCCCAAAAGTAAAACAATTAGATAAACAATTTCTTACTGAAACAGAGACAAAAAAGAAAGCGTAAGCCATACTCAGATAAACACATGCTAATTTCAAATAACATACTTTAGATAACCCATAATTGCAAAGCACAGTAAAATACACTCATTTGAAGTGTATTTTATACACTTCAATACAAATAATATTTTTCAAATATTATTCCAATTGTACAAGGAAGAATAATGAGTTAACATATTTCTTTGTCTTTTATATAATTTAGAATATGTGCTACTGTGGGATCACTTATAAACATATTATTGATATGTTAAAGTATGCTAGAAAATAAAAATGTGTATATTAAAAATATCTTGAAAAACTAGAGGACTAAACCATTGAATTCTTTCCTTTCTGTCTCTATGCTTAGCTAACAGCCCAAATTTGCTTCCTGGGCCTCTAAATGTCCTCATTTACAAGATGACTACATCATTTCTAAACTCCCACTCAGTTCCAAATTCTATGACTCTCAATGATTTGGAAAATTGTCTCTAAAATTAAATTTTGTTTTCTAATTAAAGAATATGACAAGAGACACAGTGTGGTGTTCACTTACAAGAAAAAAATGTGACTGCGATTATTTAAATCATTATAGTCTTAGATGGATATATATTTATTCCACTACTATTTAACAACCTCTTGATGGGAAAAAATGCAGTTAGGTCTGTATCTTTTGATTTAGGAAAAAAATTAGTTTCCTCACTATAGAATAAATATTAGTGGGGAAATTGGATCATCTTGTTCTGAAAAAATATAGCCTCAGTACTAATACATGGGCTCTTGCTGCCTGAGTTCTCCATTGAAAGGATAAGTGGCAGGGACATACACACAGACTGGTATAGTGACATTATGGGTCAGAGAAGACATACTTTGTTAGCTTATCTCTTAAGGTCAAGCAAAGTTTAAAAATATATTGGATGTATAAGAACTAACTGAATGAACTGTCAGAAGGAGCAAGATGCATCATAGTGCCCTTTGGTGTCCTTCCCTTGCATCACACTATCCATGGGAGGAAAGAGAGGTTCACTTGGTGATGTTTAGCCTTCAGTGATTGCATTTGGAAAGGTTCACTTATAAAGTTACTTTTTTCTAGGTAATTTAAAATTAAACATTGCTTTTAGTTTTAAAAGTATCTTTTGAACTAGAACCTAAAACATTCCTGACAAACATAGTTTCATTTAATTTTATATTGGCATGTAATCGCTAAAATGTAGTTACTTGGAAATGTAAAAAATCCTTTCTGTGATTATACCATGGAGATATTGACTGTTTTTTGAGACTCTTTCAGTCATCTTTCTACATAGATTCTAAAAATACATCCAGGAAAAAACATTTACCAGTCTGTAAAACTGTTGCCAGTAATTCTAATATTTCTATCATTTTCTCTGTCTTTACTGACTCAGAAGCTAGAATATTTTGATCAATCTAGATAGATAAGTAAAGCTGTGGTTGATGTTTTGAGTTTATTAGATATTTTGCTATATTTAAAAAATTATATACAAAAATCTTTAGATAAAATATATGGTGAAAGATAAAATTCCAAAAAAATGCCAAAACTAGACAGGACTGTGATGTCTTCCCATCTTTGAACCTTAGAAGACTCCTTTCCTCATGTCTCCTCATATCTCTCAGCTCTCTTATTTCTTTGTCTTAGTTATTCATATTCTAATAGTGGTTTCCTTCTGCCAATATTAGACACAATTTTGTTGAGTACTTTTGAAAGAGTCAATAGAGCACTAGACCTGTGAGCAGAAAGACCTGAATTCAAATCTGGCCTCAGATACTTATTAGCTGGATGACCTAGGCAAGTTATTTAACCTCTGTCTTGCTCAGTTTCCTCATCTACATGGAGATTAAAAAAGCATCTAAAACGAGGATAATAATAGCAAAGGATTGCTGTGAGGATCAAATGACATATTTGTAAAATGCTTTGCAAACCTTAAATTTATTGTTACTATTGTTATTATTATTATTATTATTGATACAATACTTGGTGCTGCACACAGTGTTTACCATGTTTTTTTTAATTGAATTGAATTTTAAACTGCTAATTTTCTTCTAAATTACTCAGATTATCTATCTTCATTGGCCAACTGTTAATTCCAATCATTTGCTTTGGAAAACCTGTCCTTTCCTGAGTATTTCCTGTGTGACCTTAGGCAGGTCATTTAATGCTTCTGGGCCTGTGTTTCCTCAACTGTAAAATAAAGGTATTAGGCTAGATGACCTCTATAATTCTTTCTAACGCTAAATATGTAATCCAATGATCCTAAATATTTTAGCTGACTCCAATGAGCTAGGATTTTTAAGTCATTTCATTATGATGATGTTCTTTAAAGAGGTATGGTATGTTGCATAATAATTATTGTATGTCAATTAGAAGCTCCAGAATTTTTGTATGATTATCTAGTGTCTAGTTTAGTTCATTGAATATAAGAACCATTAAATATATCATTTTAAACATTACATTAATATTCAAAGAATATTAGGACATATTTAAGACTGAATTTAAATATTGTGTTTAGACCAAAAAGGGTTCTTGGTCTTACATCTCTACAAATAAATGTGAAGAAAGTTGTTTTTAAAAAGCTTCATAATCTATAGCTGTGACTATTTATAGTTGTCTTCCTAATCCCATCACAATTAAATTCACTAAGTGTTTATTAAGTAACTATTATGTACCCACACTTGGCCAAGCACTAGAGATTCAATATTTCCCTTTCATGTCCATGAACTCCAAAATTCTTCTATCTGATCATAATCTTTTGTCATTTTATCTTTCCCAATGCTTTAGGATTCCTAACCCTGTATTTTCCTTATTATAACCTCCATTCCCTTAACTCCTCATTTCTTTCCCTGGCCATCACCTCTGTTGTACTTCTTGGTTGAACCACTTCAACCCTACACTAATGCTCTATTATCAAAACCCTTGTGGGGCAGCTAGATGGTGCAGTGGATAGGGCACTTGCCCCTGAGTCAGGAGGACCTGAGTTCAAATCTGGCCTCAGACACTTGATACTTACTAGCTGTGTGACCCTGGGCAAGCCATTTAACCCCATTGCCTAGGCAAAAAAAAAAAAAAGAAAAAAAAAAGCCCTTGCCCCATTGTCCTATCATGGAAAGTGTTCTAACAAAATCCAATTCTAGATTATTTTTTATCATCTGCCTCCTGCAGACTTAGTCATGTGTTGAATGGAAATAGAGAAAATCATTTAACCATGCCAGTACAAATTTATGTTATTTGATCTCAACTAGATCCTCACTGCAATACTATTCTCCTCTAATCGATTCTCTATCCCACAATGCACAGTGACTGCTCCAAAACATCATGCCACTCCTTAAGCCTAGAGAGGCGTTGCCTCCTCTCCACCTAAGGACTTCACCCTCACTTGATTTGAACATACCCTTCTAGCCATTGAGCTGTATCTCCAACTCTTGTTCTCAGGTAAACTCCTTGAAAAAGCCATTATAGAGGAACAATTCTAGTAAAGATGTGGCCTGGCGACTGCTTTCACAAGTACCTGCTTCCTCAACAGCCATGGCTACTGATGTCCTCAAAGAAAATGTCTCTCTACTGAAGTGGCGAGGAGGAATGCTAATAAGTGGAAGAAGCAAGAAAGCACTATGGATGAGCTTTGATGAGAGCTAAATAATCAGAGAAGAACAGGTAGAAAGGAGAGCATTCCAGGCATATATGTTGTAAGCTTCTGAAAAGGCATAGAGTCAGGAGATGAAATGGGTGTAGGGAACATTGAGGAGGTAAGTTGGGCTGGAACAGAAATATGTTTGGTTTTGTAATGGGAACTCAGTCTGGAAAGATAGGATGAGCTTTAAATGCCAAAAAGAGCAGTTCACATTTTATTTTAAATATAATAGGGAGTTACTGAAACCTCTCGGGCAAGGATATAATTTACCTAGATTTTACCAATTTTTAAAATAAAATATCTCATACTGTTTTTGTAAAGAAGATGGAGAAATATGGATTAGGCGACAATGCAATCAGCAGTCAGAATTCAAAGAGTAGATGTTAATAATTTACTGTCAACTCTACTGTGGAATACCTCCAAGGTCTCTACTTGGCCCCGTGCTGTTTAACATTTTTTTTGTGTGTGAGGCAATTGGGGTTAAGTGACTTGCCCAGAGTCACACAGCTAGCAAGTGTTATGTGTCTAAGGTCAAATTTGAACTCAGGTCCTCCTGACTCCAGGGCTGGTGCTCTATCGACTGTGTCACCTAGCTGTCTCTGTTTAACATTTTCATCAGTGACTTAGTTAAAGACATAAATAGTAAATTCATCAAATTTGCATATGTTGGAAGGCTGAGGGCTGTAGTAAACATACTAGATGAAAGATATCAATTTGAAAGAAAGGATTTACGAAGGTAGGGGCATGGCTAATGCCTTTATCTTTTTTGTGATATCCTTTCTGTTCTTTCTTCATTTGCATGGGAGACCAAAGGATCTTGGGGGTGAGAGGCTAGGGTCAAAAAAACTTAGAACTTGAGACCCAGATTGACACTATTATTAATTTTTTCTTGAAAGGGAAGTCCTTGAAAATGATTTTGAAGGGAATGAAAACTGGCAATCAAGAATTGGTGTTAGGAGAAACTTCTCATTCTATCAGACATTCTGCCCCCAGATATAGTGAGTTAAAAAACAGACAATATCTTCAAGTTAAACCTAGCTAGATATTATGTGTTCCAAAATAACTTTGCAAGAACTCTTCTTCTGGAGAGCAAGGGTCTCCCAGAGCTCGCTGCAGGTACTACAGATAACAGAGAGTGAAAGAAATTAAGGCTTTTTTCTAGTCTGACATTGAATGTATGAAGGGCTTGCCTCCTAAGAGCCTATGGTCTCTAAGCTGAAAGAGAGATGGGAGAGCTCACTTGAGCTAAGGACACCAGCTGAAATCAGAAACCAGACTCAGAAAGAAGCTTCAAAACCACAAGTCTGGCAGAGCTATGTCTGCCAGCAACCAGGTGACATATGGAGTACCATATGTCATCTAGCAGTAAACTACATTAAACTTGTAGGGAGCTGGCCTAGCCCCTGGCCACCTAAGTCCACTGTGTGTGTATGTCCATTGCCATGTGCTCCCTAGGTGTATCCATTCTTCCTTCTCATCATGAGTTTGTTTGAGTATTATCTTAAAGTCTGTGAGAGAAGTGCTTTTTTGATACTTTTATGACTATGCTATCTCATCAATTCATTTACTTTGCACTAATATTATTCTCTGCCTGACTGTTAAAAGCAAGGATGCATAAGCTATAATTTTGAGTGACTGGAGGCCCAACAAGTACCTTGAATATGGGGTTTTTTTCTGGGTTGCTCAATGTGTGAGGTGGGAGGTGGGATTGAGTGGGTCCCCTTAGATGCTACATATGGTTAGACAATATTTTTTAAAATGCTCTCTCAAAAGAAAATCTATTTGAATAAGAACTCAGTTAGAATAGCTCCTGCCATCTGAAGAAGCACAATTAGAGACCAGAGAAAGAATAAGCTGAAAGGAAGGAAATAATGCCAACTGACGTGATATCTCTTTGTTGGTTTTATGTTCCTTCAAGTTTTAATTTTAAAAACTGAGTTATTAAAAATTTAGGCAAATGGACATAATGAATAGGAGAAGTAAAGCTCTGGGCTGGTAGAACTGGTGGTGGAAAAGGAAGCTCTAAAGCTACCACATTCCAGAAAAGGTGAGTACACGGTATTAGAAAGACTAGCTAGCCCTTCTGGAAGAAAACTTCAAGAAAAGTCTAGTAGGAAGTTTCTTGTTAAGGGAATTCTGAAGAAGAATCTCTAAGCTAGAGTTCTTTCTTCAAGTATGCCTCATTATACCTGGTAGTACAAGTAATCTTTTTTCAGAAAGTCATTAGAAGCAATAAAGTCCCTATTTAGATTGATTTTGAATTGTGTTCTGAAAGCGTATTGAGAACTTATGAATAAGTAATTCAGATAAAAACTAGTGTTTTCAAAGACCTTTATCCAAGGTCCTTCATCAAAGACCTTTGCCCTTGGTCGAATGGACACTAAGAAGGTAACATACAAGCATTAAAAAACCAGAACAAACAAAAAACCTCTTCAGTCAGGCAAAGAGCATAAGCACCATCTAATGAACAAACACTACATGTTTTACAAAGAAACCAAGGTCCTCACAAGTGACATATAATGGCAAATAAGAGAAACTACACTGAGCTTTGGGGAATTAAACCTATTCACTGAACATATGTCTAATTCTTGTGCTTCCCCAAACTAACTGATTATAACAGCACAAAAATAGAGAATAGGTTAAACATGTGGGTAAAATAACGTACAAACACAATATATAGAATCACTTACCTCTAAACTAGCTTCTAAGGCACAAACCAACAAAATAGGGGTATTTGATAGTCGATATCCATTGACACCTGGGATTAAGTCCAGTTCTGAAAAATTAACATTGTAACACTTTTAATATTATATGACAAAGAAAAGGCTATTCATGAAGGTAATCATTAAAATAGTGGGGCTTATGTGACCACTATTTTTTGAGTTTGTGAAATATTTTTTGAGTTAGTTTGTTGAGCACTACTCAAAAATGTTGGAGTATCTATATAAATTTATTCTTAGTCTCCACAGAAATAAATAATCTGATGTGCAGCCAAAAGATTTGGTTGGTCCAATTCATTATGGATTTAATTCATGAAAATTAATAAATAAATACAAATTCATTGAGTTTCTATTATATATAAAGTGTGTTAGGCATTATGGGGAAAATAAAGAAATATGAAAACCAATTCTTTGTCAAGAAATCTTCTACCAGGAAGATAAGATTTATACTTGTGTATGCATGTATGCATATATGTATAAATAGAAAAATAATGCATGACAACTTTCTTAAAAAATCTATTAATATCTTTTTTTTTTACATTTTCTTCATTTCTGAATGTCTCCTCTTCTCCTACCCCCAAATAATTATTTGTAGCAAAAAAAAATGGGGAAAAAAGAGGGAAAAAAATCAGTTCAGAAAAAATAACCAACACATCAATTAAGTCCGATGATATGTATGATATTCCATAATTCTAGTAATCCACCTCTACAAAGAAGTGAGGGGGTACATTTTCTTAACTCCTCTGGAGTTAACCTTGTTAATTATAATTATACAATGTTTGGGCCCTATTTTGTTCTTTCCATTCACATTATTTCATGCTATAACAGTTCATATGAATGTCTTTCCATCATTCTCTAAATACTTCATATTCAATTATTTTTTAAACATTACATTCATGAGTATAGATAGTTTAGGTATTTCTAGATCTATAGGTAAATGATAGCATTTGTTAAGAACCAAACAAATGATACAGATAACATGTATTATATCAGGTCAGAGGCAAGTTCACAGTCAGTTGAGATGAGATGATAAGGCCTTAATGAGGAGCTGAAACTTGTAGAAGTCTTGAAGGATGTATAGGAATTAGATAAGAAGAAAGAACAGGTAGATATTGGTTGTTGAGGTAGAAACAGGTATAATTTTGAGGTTAAGTTAAAAGATTATATTTACTAAAAGGTTTTCTGTGTGGGGAAGCAGGGAGAGATAAAATTAAAATGGCAGATTGGGGCGTACTGAAGAGTACTTAACATAATTGTGACTTCCATTAATGAGCAAAGACCCTTTTTCCCTCATGTTTTTTTAAAAGTGAAAATAATCCTACTTGTCAAAGTTTTGCCATATTATAAAAGTAGAATGAGAAGAGATCTACTAAATTAAAAAAGAATCAATATCAAAATGAACTTTATTTCTCAAAATTATATTCTGATTTTATCATAAAAGAATGTTTACAATAAAACATTCTATAATAAGAATATCAATCTTTGTCTTGGTTTAGTCTTTTGCCTAAAGACACAAGGAAGGGATAGACTAAATCATTTCTTGAATCCAAGAGTCTTCAGTAGGCATTTTTAAATTGTAAGGTCTGCTTTTAAAGGTGAAAAAACTGGCATCAAAATTATCTATTTAATAAGTTAAGCTATCATGAGACAGAAATGAAAAAAATCATCATCACTACCACCATCATCATCAGTAGCATTTATCTAGCACATACTATTTTTCAGGCACTGTGATAAACACTTTACAAATATTATCTCATTACTAAAAACAACAATTTTCCATTTAAATAGTTGTGTACGGTATATAGCATTATGATTTTAAAATTATCCTCTTGAATTTCTTACAAAAGTAAATTATTGGCAAATTATTATTATTAATGCATAGCAAATTTATTATTTCAAAAATAGACTAACATTAACTCATAGAATCTTTGAATTAGAAGAGGTCTAAGAATTTAAACCAATACCTTTAATTTATAAAGAACTTAAATGATTTGCTTAAGGTCATGAAATAGGCTACTGGTAGAGTTATTCTCCTAACAGCCAGTCCAAGGTGCTTTCAACTATACCAAACATCCTATATATCTGAAGGTAAACAGTTTGTCACATATGCTGTAAAAATAAAATCCTGGTCTTATCTCCTGTTTCTACGGCAAATCCATTTGAGCTGTGTCTCCAGTAATGCATTCTGAACCTCACTAAGGTGACACTGGTCAAATTTTGAAACAATACAACTTACTGTATTTTTTATTCCATAGAATTTAATGGATTTAACCCATTTCACACTTTAAATTATGTAAATTTAACTTAATTCAAATCAATTTTTAATTCAACAAATATATACATACATTACATTCATGAACACATACACATATACATATACACATATACACACCCACACACAAATATATACGTACATAAATAATATATATAGAGAGAGATACAGACAGAGACAGAGAGACAAAGAGACAGAAAGCCTACTATAGTCAAAACACTATGCCTGGCACTGCCAGATTAAATAAAGTATGAGTAAGATACAGTATTTGTTCTCATGGAATTTTAATCTTGCAGGGGTCATAAAACATAGACACAAATGACCATAATGTAAAATGGAATATTATCAGAATATATGAGGTACAAATAAAATGCTAAGAGAGACCTGAAGAAGAGAATATTTCAAGTTCAATGGATCAGGGAAAACTTCATAAAGTTACACATGTAGCTAGAGCTGAAAGGACACAGGCAGAAATAAAGGGGTGTGTGTGCATGTGTGTGTGCGTGTGTGTGCATGTATGTGCGTGTGTGTGTGTGATTTTTGGTTTGCCATAAGTCAATTCAGAAATTGAGGGAGAAGATCTGGAAAACATCAGAGAATGATGAATTGCTTAGTTTTACAAGAAAGAGTAGGAAAAATTCACAGCATCATGATTAGTAAGGTTGGTAGGAATAGAGAGTATTTGAAGAGAGTAAGTGTGCAACCACTTGCTTTGTGCAATTCATTGGAGGGTAAATGGACAAAAATAAAAGAGTTCCTGCCCTCAACAGCCAGTAATTCTTTTGGGGAATAAAACACGCAAATAGTTAATTATAAAAAAAATTTTAGGAGAGACTGAGCTTTTGCTGTTCAGTTGTTTCAATCGTGTCTGGAATTTCATGACCCATTGTGGGATTTTCTTGGCAGAGATACTAGAGTGGTTTGTCATTTCCTTCTCTAGCTCATTTTACAGATGAGAAACTGAGGCAAATAAGGTTAAATGACTTGCCCAGGATCACACAACTAGTAAGTGTCTGAGGTTGGATTTGAACTCACAAAAATATCTTCTTAATTCCAAGCCCAGTGCTCTAGAGACTGAGAACCAACAAATAAAAAGATCAAAATGTCTTTCTTTAAGAGGCCGCATCTGAGCTGATTCTTGAAAGGAAGCTAAAATATTCATGTGAAAGAGGCAGCATGACAAAGTGGGAAAAGTAGAATCTTAGAATCAAAAAGATATGGGCTTGGGTCTTAGTACTGATGCTTAGCACTTGTGGAACCAAGAAGTCAATTTCTCTGTTCCTCAATGTCCTTATTAGTAAATTGAGAACAATAACACAACCTATATTATCTCAGATACTGAAGGGAAAGCACTCTTTCAATAAATAAAAATAAATAAAACAAGAAAGTGTTACAGAAATGTGAGTTATCATTAAAAGGATGTAAAGGTAAAGTAGAACCAGATCATTGAGGGCTTAGAATTCCAAACTAACCATTTAATAAAGACTTTTTTTTTTTAATAAGCAGTGAGAGTCACTGAAGATTAAATAAGTAACATGATTAGTCCTCTGCATTAGGAAAATATAGCACTTTGAAATAGTATGTAAGAGTGGTTTGAAAAGGAAAAGATTGGGGGCAAGGACACTGGTCATCTTTTACAATCCTCTAGGCATGGAAATGCAATGAATGTGAGCCAGGTAACCTGTCCTACACTCATTGGTGTGCTGGAGTTGGCTCATACCAGCTCAAAGCAGCCAATAGTTCAATTTTCATTGAAATTGGCAAATGCTTAAAATCAAAGCTTGATTTATTATTTTATCGACTGCCCAGACTTAAGAAAGTAATGGAGAAAATGTTAATAATAGAGATTAAATTTAAAAGCTGTTTGTTTGTTCTATGTACTCTACGTTTCTACACACTCCCACCAAAATGCAGTTATTAAATATCTACCAGCACATTTGTGTATGCTTTATGTATACCTATGACTCCAGGTGATAAAATGAGGACCTGATCTAGAGCAATAATATTAAAATAGAAAAAAAGGGAATAAATGTGAAGATACTAGAGCAATAGAATTAATAGGACTAGATACTTGATTAAATGTGAAGGAATTAGGGAGGAGTAATCAAAGATGACTCCAAACTTTGAGTAAATATAGAATAAAACTAGTACCATTAACAAATAGGGTAGCTTATTAGGTGGAATCAGTTGAAAAGGCTGATTTAAGGAGGAAGATGATGAATTTTGTTTCAGATTTGTTGAGCTTGAGGCACGTCTAGGAAAACATTCCCAAAAGGCAATTAGAAACGGGGGTTTGGAATTTTAAAAATTGTGGAGGAAGACATAGATTTGAAAGTCATTGGCCTAGAAGTGATACACCCTGAGAATAAATATAATTGCTGAGGGAGAAAATCTCTAGATAGAGACAAAGGATAAGGGCAGATTCTTTGACTATGCCTTTATATGACATAGGAAGAAGAAATGCAAAGAGAAACAAAGGAGTGATTAGAGATTTAGGAGGAAAATCATGAATGTGCAGTGTTCTGTTCATTAATTCCTTAACATTATAAAATAGTATCTGGCTTTCAGAAGTCTCTATTCTATACTCATTTAAAAGATTCTTGTTTGTTTTGGCTAGAATCAGAAAGTAATACTCAAAAAAATAGAAACGAATCATAACAAGAAGTATTTGCTTTCTTCTCTGAGGACTATAGGAACTATGAGAGGCAAATGAAAATGAATGCTGTGTCTTAGGTCATAGAACTAAGGATTATTTAATAAATTCTGGCTCTCTTGAATTTAAAAAAAATAGAATCATAGATTTTCAGACACAGAATCAACCTTAGAGAGTTAATTCAATTCAACAAGTGTTTCTCAGGCACCTACTATGTGCCAGGCTCTAAGCTAGGAGCCTGGGATACAAAACCATATGTATGTGACAGCTTAAATCCGAACACAGATTTTTTTGACACCGAATCAGTGTTTGTGTTTTCACTATTCTATATTGTTATCACTTTAGAATCCAAAATGATTTTTATAATATACTCCCAATTCTGTATTTTTATTTACACTGAGATCAGTTGAAAGGTGTAGTAGTTCCCCAAGTAGCTAGTAACTACGTTCCAGTTAAACACACCTTTAGAAGGAGACTTTTTATGAACATCTTAAAGACTGCTAATGAATGACAACCAAGAAACATTTAGAAAAAGAATTAAGTAATGTATTCTTAGTTCCTTACGTGTTGTTTGGTTCTGCTTCAAGAAAAAAATTTTTAAAATTTCTCGCCATGACCATTATGCTCATTGAGTGAAGCTTTCTATTGAAAATCTTTATGAATGGTTATCAATAGTCAAATTTGAAACCAATGGTAACATATCAAATAGTTTGCCTCATTCCATATAGTCAAATAATACCAAGTGAAGGAACAATACTTATGATGAAATAGTTAACTACGAATCTTCTACAAGCATAGTAAAATAGCTTCTATGTTCTCTTTCCCGAATTTTTCTACTAGGGTGCAATACACATAGGCATATTCATGTCCAATGTGATGGGGACCATATGGTTTTGGGGGAAATAAAGAGCAGCAGAGACAGATGATAACGTCTCATTAATTTGTAATCACATACTGAATGTTCCATATTTATGATGATAACCCTCCTCTCCACCTTATAAAATAAAACTCTTGGGTTTTTTTTTAAATATTATATAAGCATCCTTACTGTTTTAAAAGAAATTACAAAGAAAAAAGGATTAAATTGTCAAAGGGCCTACATCTGGCATATTTTAAGCCTAGTTGAATTTTAAAATTAAGCAAAAATAAATATCATATATAACTTTAAATATACTTACTGTTATCCATGTCAAATCTACTCTCAAGTTTGTGACCAAACCAGCCTGTTAACCTAAAATATAAATAGCAGTTTTTCAGATTATTTCTTTTGACAAAAAATCCCTAAGTAATACAGTTGCTAATTACATTTTTGCCCAAAGATTAAATATATTTAGGAATAAAATAATAAAACATTCAGAAAATAAAATGAACACTTTAAGGAAAAAATAACAAAGTGCAATTCATATTTATAGAGTTTCTTTGGATTTTAAATGGAATATTGAAAGTACTATTATTATTACATGTTTTACTCATGTTACCTTTTAAAAAGAAAATACTGTAAAATAATTTTAAAAGAGATTTTCTCTCAGTAAAATCAAATACAAGAATAACATTCAACATCTTATTTTAAAAGCACAAAATTAAAGTTATTAAGGCAAGAATGAACTTAGATACCAGAGTTTCCAAATAGAAACCTCAATGAACAACAACAAAATCTATATCTAAGTATATGACTGTTACAATTTTTTTGTATTCCTATGCCGAATTTTCCAAGGAAAAAAGTATGAAATACTTTCAGTGATTATTACTTTAATCATTTTTCTTATTTTATTTTCATAACTAGCAATAATTTTATTTTTTCTTGCCTTCACACCTTATATTTTATCCTTCCATTTCAATGTAAAGCTCCCTTATAAAGGTAAAGCTATCTAAACTTGTAGTCAGGTAAAGGTATATGAAACAAGTGTTCAATTGTGACATTTTTTCATATGGATCTACATGTATCATTACTTTAAAAGATCCATGATTTAATCAGTATGGAGACTTCTTTTACTTACACAGATTGAAATTCTCTCAGACCTTAGCAGATGGTTTCATAAGTTAGTGTGGCTGAAAAACAAATCTATTACATTATAGATAACCTTCTGATAATAAGATACTGAGAACTTAGCTAAGCATGATCCTTGGATGAATAAAAGTCTCCCCAGCTTAGAAGAACCTGCCAAAATCCAATGGCCTTTTTCTCCCTTCCCTTCCCCTCTCCCACAATTTTCATCCTTTTTGAGCTTTCTGTGGCTCTTACAACCGTCATACACCTCTTACTGTACCATTTTTCACCCCCCCTACTCAACTTTGTCTAAACCTTTAAGTTGATGCATAAATTCTAGTTTTGACCTGTCTTTTAAGATACAGAATCCCATTTCCCACTCATAATATGTTTTGTCCGCATGCTGGCTCTACAGCAACTCAAACGTAACAGATCGAAACCAAATTCACTATCTTTCCTTCTAAAAAGCCTGCTTTTTGTGACTTCGCTATTTTCATCATAACCATTCATCCTATTTCCCATTTTGGCAATCTTTGAACTACACTTCTCCCACATATAATCAATCAGTTGACAGATTTTGCTTCTATTTTAATATCTGTCACATCTTTTTTCTTTCTTTGTATTCCTCTGTATAGAACACTCTTGTACAGTCTCTTATGACCGTAGGCATAAACTTCAATTGCTTCTTTTTAAAAAATAATTGTATTGACATTTTTGTTTTTATATTGCCTAGATTTTCCCATGCATTCCTCTCCTTGTTGCCTCCCATAAAGCTATACTTTATTTTAAAAAAAGTTTTTAATGGGGAAAAGAAACAAAAATAAATCAGCAAAAGCAGTTAATATGTCAAAAATCTGACATTATGTGTTATGTTTCATACTCATGGAACCTAATCTCTACAAAAGAATGCATAACCTCTACAGAGTAGTCATTTGTCTTCTTTGGGGTCAAACTTCTCTTTGCTATTTTGCAACATTCATTTTTTAAGTTGTTTTGTGGTTCTTTTCATTTATATTGTTGAAGTCATTGTTCATACTGTTTTCTTGGCTCTGCTTATTTCACAGTGCATCAGTTCACGTAAGTCTTTCTATGCTTTTCTGTATTTAACATAATTGTCATTTCTTCCACAACAGGATATATTCTATTATACTCATGCACTACAAATGTAGTCACTCTCAGTCAATGGAAACCTTTGTTTCCATTTCTTTGCTCTCACACAAAAAAGTGCTGCTATCAATATTTTGATATATATGGACCTTTCTTTTTGGAAATGAATACTTATCAATGGAAGGAATTCTGGCTCAAAGCATATGGATGTTTTAGCCAATCTATTTGAAAATTCAAAACTGCTTTCCAGAATGAATAGTTATTCAATATCATTCCTCATTTCCTCCAACAATGCATTATTAGTAAACTTGACTGTCTTCTAACATTGATTATTCTCATTTTAACAACCTCTGACAAAGGTCTGGTTGACCATAAAATTCCCTAGGATTTGTAGTTCTCAGTTTATGGAGAGAGGAAACTAATTTGAGATCAAAGGTGAGATGTGTCCATGAGGAACTGTGGAGGAAGGAGAAGAGAGAAGCAATGGTAATCCCACAGCAGCAGCATCAGACCAGACCACCACTTGGTGCTGACCACATTACAATTTACTTCTGTATGACCATGAGATATGACCTCCATCTTAATGGACAAGCTGGGAAGTGCATATGACTGTGTTTTATTGAAAATGCTGGTTCACTCAGGAGAAGGAGCAAGTAGAGAAAACAAGTTAAAGAAGAAAAGACAAATAATGGGCAATCCTACCATAGTCTTATTTCCATGTGTTTTTCTTAAATTTATTCTACTAAAGGATACACTTGTCTCATTTTACCTTATTTCTCATTAATACCTGGGCTCAGCCCTATCTTCATGTGGGCAGGTGCCATTTTGTTTGCTGCATAAGAGCACAAAACAAGCCACATGAAAGAGAAAGACCTTTGCTAGTTCAGATTAGGAGCTCAATTTGTACTCATTTGTTAGACAATTTTGCTCTCTGAGGGCATAAGCATGACGTATTTCATAACTACCCTCCTTAAGTGCAGAATCATTATAAATCATTATAAATTCGGGTAAAAATCTACTTCATGGACATGAGTTACATCATCTTTTGTCTGGCAATTTGTAGGGTGTGAGGTAAAAACCTCAATTGTTTTCATTTGCGTTGCTCTTTTTATTAGTGATCTGAAATATTTTATGTGGTTGTTAGAAGTTTGTGATTCTTCTGAAAATGTCATATTTTTTGGCCACTTATCTAAAAAATTAAAAATTTACAAATTTTAAAATTCCAATTGAACTTCAAACTAGAAATTCTGAAAATTAAAGGTGATTAACAGAAATGTAACCAAAGAGGAAAAAAAAACTCATTGAATTAATAATATAAAACCAGGAACCAATTTAAAACAACAACATAAATAAATCATTAGCTAATTTTATTAAAATACAAAAGAAGAAAACTAAATTACCAATATCCACAATAAAAATAATTTGCAACAAGTCAAGAATAAATGAAATTATTAGAAACTATTTTGTCCCACTATATACCAATAAAATTGGAAAATAAAATGAAATTGATCAATACTTACAAAAATTGTTCAGATTACTAGAACAAGATTTGGAGAAAGAAACTGGACAAGCCATTACTGAGTTCTCAAAAAGGGTAGATAGAATTCTAGAGCAGATGGTTTTACAAGATAATTTTATTAAAAATTCAAGAAGCAATTAATTACAATATTACATAAACTATTTGCAAGAATAGGAAAATTAGATCTTTTCTAACCCCTTCTGCCATACAGATTAGACTAGTGAATGCCTGAAAGAAACAGTTTCCCCTGGTACTTATATGGTTCAGGAACCTGAGACTCAAGGTGTGCCTCCTTTGACCAGCTTCCTGGTATACTCCTGACTTACTTAAAAGGCTTACAGATGACCTAATGAGGTAAAAAGTTGATCCACATGGAGTTTGGGCCCTTCAGACTTGGCTTATTTCCCAAGACTCCATGAATCACAATATGCTATCATATCAACTAGACATATTTCAATATTGGTAGAAGGGGGAAACCAATTAAGCTAAGTGTTGCAGTATCTTTCTTGGATATACTTTCTTTACTATGGTTAAGTAATCTTCTTTTTGTTAATTGTTAAATGATCCAAAAATGCTCCAAATTACTAATAAATAAATGCAAATTAAAGCAATTTTGAAGTTCCTCCTCACATCAGATCAGCAAAAATGACAAAAAGGGAAAATGACAAAAGTTGCAGGGGCTGCAGGAAAGTGGGCAGACTGATATAGATAGATGGAGGGGTGAATTAGCCAAGGAAATATAGAAATTAATTTTAAAATCTGCCCCCAAAGTTACTAAGCTACATATACCTTTTGAATCAGCCATATCACTTACTAGTCCCATACCCAAAGACAACAAAGAAGAAAAGGATGCATATTTACAAAAACATTTATAGCAGTTCTCTTTGTAGTGGCAAAGAACCATAAACTTAGGGTGTGCCCATCAGTTAGGAAAGGGTTGAACAAATTATAGTATACTAATGTAGGGGAATATCATTGTGTTTATGATTATGGAAAAGATAGTTTCAGAAAAACCTAGGAAGACATATGAAATGATTCTGAGTAAGCTGATCAGAAGCAGGAGAACAATTATACTGTAACAATAAGACTGTAATAAAAGAATAATTGTGAATTTTGATCAGTATAATGTTTCCAAAGGACTCAAAAAGTGATATCTACCTCCTGATACAATGATGATGGACTTTTATACAGAATTAGATATGTATTTTTGGACATGGGCAATGTGGTAATTTGCTTTGCTTGACTATGCTTATTTGTTCCAAAGTTTTCATTTCTTCCCCCTCCCCTCAGGGAAATGTGGAGGTAGAAGAGAGAATGCTTGACAACCCCCCAAAATAATGAAAATTAAAATTTAAGAGGATAGAGATGGTATAGATGAAAGGATGTAAAATGGCTAAGAAGCTAATTGGAAGAGGACTCTTTGATATATGAAGTGTTCAGGCTTCATTGTGCTTTATAAATTTAACTAAAAGGTCAAAAATGTTTGTTTAAATAAAATAATAGTCTAAACAACATCTCATTCCAACAATTATATGATTTACATCACTTTAGTGTACGGCATGTGTGTGTGTGTGTTTCTTGCTTGCTGCATTTGAGGTATGATTACGTTGAGTCTATA